GTTTTAGTCCTAGGTCCATGATCCACCTTGAGTTGGTTTTTGTATATGGAGTGAGGTGGGGATCTTGTTTAATTCTTCTGCAGATAGTAAGTAAAGATGTTTTTTGAAATGTATTCTTACTTTCCCCTCATATTTTTAAAAGAACATACAGATAATACCTTCATTTGGGTAGTTCTCGGTCTATATTTATAGAAAGAGGTATACAGTGACTTTTACTGTAATTGACACTGTGGTGAATTATATACTATATGTAGGGGATTATATGTAACATGAAAATAGAACACATGAAAATTATGGTGAAGCATGACAATTGGAGTTTCACAGAAAAGTGTATTATTTCTCTTCCAAAGCCCTAAGAGCTATTGTTACAGCAATAGGAAGAAAGTTCAATGAAACACTTAAAATTATTCAGTGTGGGTTCTTTTACTTTTCCAAATGTTTGATTTTTCTGAAGGAGAAAACATTATGACTGTTGATTGTGTACATTTATCAGATAGAAAATTCCCTACACTGATTTCATAACTAGGAGAAGGCAATCTCCTATCTTGTGATTAACTGCCTCTGAAAACCTGCTGGAGGGTCAGTTATGGGTTGATTTCCAACTCGACGATACTCAACAATAGTGCATGCAACATTATTAAAAATGAAAATAATAAGTGTTGGTGAAGGTCTGGCAAATTAGAAAACGTGTACATTGCTGGTGGAGTGTAAAATGATACTACCACTTTAGAAAGAAATTGTATAGTTTCTCACAAAATAAAACTTAGAATTACAGTATGATTCAGCAGTCCTCTACTTGTTATGTACCCGAAAGAAATGAAAGCTGGAACAAAACAGATACATGTATACCAGTAAAATCCCAAATATCCATCAACTGGTAAATTGACAACTTATGATGTCATTATGCAATGAAATCTTTTTTCAAAGGAGAAATGACATTCTGAAACATACTACAACATGGGTGAACCTAAAACACACACACATACACACATACAAATACAAAACATAGGTGAACCTTGAAAACATTATTTTGAGTGAAATAAACCAGAAACAAAACAGGAAATATTGTACGACTCTATTACATAAAATACAACGAGTAAGCAATTGCCTAGAGATGAAAGATGACCGATGATGACCACGGGGTGAGTGAAGAGGAGGTTAGAGGGTTATTTCTGATGAAGTCCCAGCTGGTTTCTGGGGAAGAAATAAATATTTTTTAAATGTATGTCAGAAATGGTTGCACAATACTGTGAATGCAGTTAATGGCATTGAGTCAAGCTCTTAAAATGGTCTAAATTGCAAATTGTATGTTGTATATATTTTGCAATTAGAAGCTTTTCAAAAAACAAAAATGGTGCAGTCTTAAGTCAGGACTCTAAGTGTCGCTGTTCCCTAACTCGGCGACAAAAGGGATCGGAACTAGTGTTCTAACCTGCAAACACCAAGCAATCAGACACAAAAGCTCTCCAGCTGCGCAGATATCCCAAGCCCCAGAGCTTCAGTTCTCTGCCTGTTTAGGGACCTTGGCCGCTAAGTCTGAGCAGCACCAAGTGATGGTACTTGTTTCCGCTCCCTAATTTCACAGAAGATCAGAAGGAGCCCGTAATGGCGACTCTGCAGAGGCGCCGGTGCTGCGGGGGGCTGGTCCTCCTCTTCTCGTTTCTGGAGATGCTGTGGGGAGCCAGGGCTGGGCAGATCCGCTACTCCATTCCTGAGGAGCTGGAGAAAGCATCCTTTGTGGGAAACATCGGCAAGGACCTGGGGCTGGAGCCTGGGAAGCTGGCGGAGGGCGGAGTCCGCATCGTCTCCAGAGGTAGGACGCAGCTCTTTGCGCTGAGCCCGGGAAGCGGCAGCCTGGTGACTGCGGGCAGGATAGACCGTGAGGAGCTCTGCGCCCAAAGCGCGCGCTGTCTGGTGAATTTTAACATTCTTGTTGAAGATAAAATGAACCTCTTTCCAGTGGAAGTGGAAATAACGGACATAAATGACAATACACCTCAATTCTTAACGGAAAAATTGGAGGTAAAAATTCCTGAAAATGCACCTCCATCCTCTCATTTTCCATTAATGGGTGTCTACGATCTGGATGTAGGAATGAACTCTCTCCAGGGCTTCAAGCTCAGCACTAACAGTCACTTCTCAGTGGATGTGCAAAATTACTCCGATGGGCCCAAGTACCCAGAGCTGGTTCTGGAGCGTGCCCTGGACCGGGAGGGAGAGGCCATTCACCACTTGGTCCTCACAGCCGTGGATGGTGGTGACCCCGTTCGCTCAGGTGTGGCGCGAATTCAGGTAACGGTCCTAGATGTAAATGACAACGCTCCAGTGTTTACAAAGCCTGCCTATCGGGTAAGTGTTCCTGAAAACCTGCCTATAGGTACACCTGTGTTGACGGTGAACGCCACCGACCAGGATGAAGGCCTCCACTCGGAAGTAACATATTCCTTCGTGAAGGTAACAAAAAAGATCGCCCAGATTTTCTCCTTGAATGCTTTGACTGGGGAAATATCAATTTCTGAAGCGCTAGACTACGAAGACGCAAGCTACTATGAGCTGGATGTTGAAGCCCAGGATAAGCCGGGCCTTCGAGACAGAGCGAAAGTCTTCATAACTGTGTTGGATGTAAACGATAACGTACCTGAAGTGGTAGTGACTTCTGGAAGCCGAACAGTTGCTGAAAACGCGCCACCAGGTACAGTAATCGCCCTTTTCCAAGTGCATGATCGAGATTCAGGACTGAATGGGGTTGTAACGTGTTCAGTCTCCAGCAGTCTGCCATTTGAATTGGAAAAGTCAGTAGACAATTACTATCGATTAGTGACAAGCACAGCGCTAGATAGGGAGCAGGTGTCCCTGTACAACATTACCGTAACAGCCACAGACAAGGGAAAACCTCCTCTGTCTACAGAAACGTTCATCTCCCTAAATGTGGCAGACATCAATGACAACCGGCCTGCCTTCTCCCAGGAGTTCTACTCCATCTACATCCCCGAGAACAACCCCAGAGGAGCCTCAGTCTTCTCGGTTACCGCCCATGATCCCGACAGTGGAGAGAATTCCCGAGTTACTTATTCACTGGCCGAGGACACCATACAGGGGGCACCAGTGTCCTCCTATGTCTCCATTAACTCTGACACAGGAGTCCTGTATGCTCTGTCTTCCTTTGACTATGAACAGTTTCCAAACTTACAGCTCAAAGTGACAGCTAGTGACAGCGGTGAGCCATCACTCAGCAGCAATGTATCACTGAATGTATTCATTCTGGACCAGAATGACAATGTCCCCGAGATCCTGTACCCCGCCCTTCCCACCGACGGCTCCACGGGCGTGGAACTGGCGCCTCGCTCCGCAGAACCCGGCTACCTGGTGACCAAAGTGGTGGCGGTGGACAGAGACTCGGGTCAGAACGCCTGGCTATCCTACCGCCTGCTAAAGGCCAGTGAGCCAGGGCTGTTCGCGGTGGGGGTGCACACGGGCGAGGTGCGCACAGCGCGTGCCCTGCAGGACAGAGACGCGCTCAAGCAGAGCCTGGTGGTGGCCGTTCAGGACCATGGCCAGCCCCCTCTCTCGGCCACTGTCACACTCACCGTGGCTGTGGCCGACAGCATCCCGGACGTGCTCGCTGACCTGGGCAGCATGGAGTCTCCCACCAACCAAGACGACGCTGGCCTCACTCTGTACCTGGTGGTGGCCGTGGCTGTGGTCTCCTGCGTTTTCCTGGCGTTTGTCATCGTGCTGATGGCGCTCAGGCTGAGGCGCTGGCACACTAAACGTCTGTTCCAGGCTTCCAGCTGCACAATGTCCGGCCTGCCCGCCTCTCACTTTGTGGGCATGGACGGGGTGCGGGCCTTCCTGCAGACCTATTCCCACGAGGTCTCCCTTACCGCGGACTCGCGCAAGAGCCACCTGATCTTCCCTCAGCCCAACTATGCAGACACGCTCATTAGTGCAGAGAGCTGTGGGAAAAGCGAGCCACTTTTAATCCAGGAAGACTCAGGTTTGAATAAAGAGGAAGACTCTTTTATTCAGGTGAGACTTTTGCTTTTATTTGAGTAGGAAATTCTAAGTCTCTTTGGCCAATGCTTAGTTTTCTTTGTTTTGCAGGGAATCATGTAATTAATGTGATTCTATACTTCTAAGGTTTTCCTTTTATCAGTAGAGCAGTCCTTAAATTTTCATTTTTTTTAATTTCATAGGAAAAAAGTAGTTAATACCCTATATATCCTTTACATTTCTCCTGTTGGCATTGCTTTGAATTTTTTCTTGTTGTTGTTAAGTTGGTTGGTTGGGTTTTCTTAGAGTGTGGCATCTGTGAGAGCCTTTTCTAATGGAAAAGTTTATTCAGTGCAATCTCAGTGAAAGAAGGTCAAGATAGTGTTTTCTAAAATTACGGCAATCCATGAAAAATATTTCCTTGTTTTCTTCTTTTAACTTCTTAGGAATATTTTTTAAAATTAGAGGTCAGAATAATTTGCATCTGTAGCAGGGAGAATTTAGGCTTTGGTGAGCACCACTAGACTTGAGTAATATACTCCTTGCACTGATAACTATTTATCTTTGCCCGCTCACAGTCTCTAGCCTCCTGTACCATATTTTGCACAAAAATTAGGAAAAATATGTGAGAATTCTTGCTATCTATGAAAAGCATTCCGGAGGCACTTAGTCGACAACAGATTTGTTTATTGTTTTGGCAGTCTATGACATTTGCAATGTTCTTTACCAATACCGCAATTCAAAGTCATCAATTCTTTAAGCTTCCTTATTTATTGTCCAACTTTCATATTCATACAAGATTTTTAAAAAATATTCTTGGTAGTGTTCTTAAAGTGACATTCTTCCTCTTTAAAGGTTTCTTTGTGGTAGATTTACTCAATGCAATACATTGATTTCTTGACTATTGCTTCCAAAGATATTGCTTAGGGGATTCCAGTTTTGGACCTTTCCAAAAAGTTTATAGCCCTGAAATTAATGGAGTACATGACATTCTACAGTCTTAGGAGTTGGTTCAACTGTATTATAGACAAGGTATTTTACAACCCCAAACTGGAGGCAAAGGGTAGGAAATCTGCTCCTATAAGTATGTACAGCCTGGGAAACATGACGAAAGGACACTGTATGCCAATAATGCAGATTTCCAAATCTGTTTTTTACATTTATGAAATAATTCTGGATTTATTATTTCATTATGGCTTTAATAAAAATCTGTTAGATAACTTTAAAAGAACTTGAATCCTGGGAATTGGTCACAAGACAGGAATGTTATTTTATTACATCAGAAATTTAGAATGATTTAAACTACACATGCAGAACATCCAGGAAATATCCCTAAATATCCATAACAGTAGGCTGGTGTGTTTTCTTCTTTATTTGAGTTATTTGAAATGACTTGTTGAATGAATCATTGAAAAGTGACCATTTAATTTAAACAAATTAAACATTGATTGAAGTAAAAACTGTAAGGTTATACTATCACAATGATTATTCATTCATATGGACTAAATGCTACTACATATGCTGAAAACATGGAATTTTCAAAATAAGGCTCTTTGATTCATATACAACTTCCTATATCATTAATTAGAGGGTTTGAGCATATACTGTATGTTTGAGCATCAAAAATAAATGCAATAAATTGTTGGATGTTATCATCTAAAATGACACTTTTAAAAATCAAACTTCTTGTTGAAATGGCATTTTTCAAAGCCTGGGAGCTGTAAATCTTGGAAACAATAATTGGGAAATACCTACATCTTTGCTTGAGAGTAATAGTGTAAAAAGAACTCCAAATGAATGGTTCTTCAATAGGAAGAAAGTTCCATAGTGCAAAACCAAACAATATACAACTCAATAACTTGGAACATAAGTAGACTTTCTATAAAATTTTTGAAGTTCAAGCAAAAAGTTAAAGATTGGATTCTCAATTATATTTTTAATTTTATAAAGTAAGTTTGTGTAAAATTTTATTAAACACAACTGGTGATTTAGTAAATTATTTTCATATTTATTTTTGTGTTATGGAATATCTTTAGGAACTTGGATGCTGGATATTTACTCATAGTTCTCAGGGAGTTGCACTGTTAACCCAAAGGCAGCAGGCCTCTGGCAAATCAAATCCACCAGTAGCTCTATGAGCAAAAGATGGCAACTCTTCTGGGTGATTTACAGTCTTCAGAAACCCACTGGAGGGCAAGCTACGCATTGGTTCTGACTCCACAGCAATGAGGGAGAAATATGCTTTACATTCAGGAGAAGGATAAACATAATATTGCACATATATGTAATTGTATGCTGAAGAAAATAGGAAAAGAATATATTGATAATTTCCTCTTAAACATTAGAAGTAAAAGAGAAATGTGAGATAAAACTATTAATTTTGAGGCACCACATAGAAAAAATATCAAGATATTCAGAGCTAAAAATTTTAAAGTTTTGTTTGAAAATATCTACTAATATTCCTTACCTTTGATAACCATATGGTGAGTGAGGATTTGTGGATTTCTACCTTGGAGCCACACATCTAGATACTCTCTAGACAGGCTGCACTGAAGCCATTGGCAAAAAATAAGGCCTTGGGGAGCTCTGGTGGCCTAGTGGCAAGAAGCTGCAACTACAATCCCAGAGGTGCACGGTTCCAATCCACCAGATGCTCTGCCGGGGAAGGCGGGACAATCTCCTCCTGTACCAGTCAGATCTGATTTGACGGTACACGCACACAAAAATAAAAGTAAAAAAAAAAATAAGGCCTCAGGAATTGATGGGATGCCATTTGACATATTTCAACAAACAAATGCAGCGCGCAATGTGCTCATGGTCTATGCCAAGAAATTTGGAAGATAACTACATGGCCAACTCACTGGAAATGATTCATATTTGTTCCCATTTCCATCCAAGAGAATGCAGAAATTATGTAACAATGTCATTAATATCACGTGCAAGTAAAATCTTGCTGAAGACTTTCTCAAATGGGTAGAACAACAGATCCATAGGGAACTTCCAGAATTTAAAGCTAGATTTAGAAGAGTCCATGACACCAGGATATTGCTGATGTCAGATGGATTTTGATTGAAAGGAGTAACACTAGAAGAAAGTCCATTTGTGTTTTATTGACCATGCAAAGGCACTTGACTGTGGATCATAGAAATGCTGGCTAATATTGAGAAAAATGGGAATCCCAGAATTCTTAATTGTTCTCAGGTGAAACAGAGACCTAGGCCAAGTAGCTATTGTGTGAACAGGGCAAGGGAACACTGCATGGTTAAAATCTAGAAAGATGTATGTCGGGGCTGTATCGTTTTTTCATATCTACTCAACTTGTATGCTGAGCAAATAATTTGGACTTTATGAAGAAGAATGTAGCATCAGGATTGGAGGAAGATGCATCAACAACTTGTACTATGTAAGATGACACAGCTTTGCTTGTTGAAAGTTAAGAGTACTTGAAACTCTTGCTTCAGAAGACCAAACACTTCAATATTGATTTCATCATAACCTGAAGAAAACAAAAATCCTCACCTCTGAACCAATGAACAATATCATGATAGATGGAGAAAGACCGATGTTGTCAATGATTTTATCTTCCTGGGATCCAAAATTAACATCCTTGGTACCAACAGTCAAGAAATCAAAAGACAGGTTGCACTGGGAAAATTCTGTCAAGGCCTTTTCTAAAGTGCTGAGGAGCAGTGATTTCAGTTTAAAGACTAAGATACACCTGATTCAGGCCGTGGTCTTTTCAACTATTTGTTATGCATCTGAAAGTTGAACAGTGAATAAGGATGACAGAAGAATCAATGCCTTTGAGTTGTAGAGTTGAATTACTGAATATCCCATGGACTGTCAAAAGAACAAATAAATCATAGAAGAAATGCAGCCAGGGTGCTCCTTAGAGGAGGGTGGTGAAATTTGTCTCATATACTTTGGTCATGTTATTAGGAAGGATAAGACCTTGGAAAAGGACGTCAATCTGGCAAAGGTGGAAAATCAGAGAAATGGAAGAAGATTCTCAATGAGATAAATTGACACAGTAATTATGGGCTCAAGTATGTCAGAAATTATAAGGATGGCACAAGATAGGGCAAGGTTCAGCTGCATTGTTCAGTCGCTGTGAGTCTTCCTTGACTCAATGGCACATTCACACTAACAAACCTTGGTTCCGCTATTGTATAGCCAGAGAAGGCAATTTCTTCTCATTTTTTCCATCTTTAAGGTGAAGATACTGGATTAAACCACCTGTAAAGACCTATGCAATTAAAATATATTTTAAAGAAAATTTTAACTTAATAGTACTGTGAGCTAATTTAGATGTATTCTAATCTTAAGTAAATTATTTTTGTTGTCTTGCATATTATTGTATACCTTATCTTTTTAACTGCAATGTCTGGTTCTCTTGCAATAAAGTGTGAGGCAATGCCCAAAAACGTCATTTCCAGTTGTCACTGTGAAGTAATATTTTTACTGTTATTTACAGTGATTTAAAAATCCGATTGTCAAATATCCATTCATGAACACTATTATATTCATTCAATCTTTTAAAAATGAGTTGGTAAGATTTTATCAGAGGTTTCTGGAGTTTAAAAAATTACGAAAAAGGAGAAATAACGAAGGATGAAACAATTACATGAAAAAAAATCAGTATATTTTGCTTCAATGTGATGTAGTAACTCATTGAGGACTCTGAGCGCCGCTGTTCACCAACCAGGAGGAAAATGGTGTGAGAGATCCGCCAGAACCACTGAGTTTTTATGCAACAAAGAAAAGATAGAGAGACAGAGATGAATCCTATCCTAAACTGAATCAACCCAGGACCTTCATGCCACCAGATTCCGGCTCGCCTCCTGAATATCGGGAAATTTACTCGGATTCACTGGTATCCAAAAAAGAGCTCGAGCAGATCTGCAGGGCGATGGCGGTGCGGCGGAGAGGCGGGGACAACAGAGGATTCTTCTTGCTCTTCATTGTCCTGGGGACCTTGTGGAATGTCAGGGCCGGACGTATAAGGTATTCTGTTCCAGAGGAGACAGACAAAGGGTCTTTTGTGGGAAACATTGCCAAAGACCTGGGGCTGGAGCCTAGGGAGCTGGTGGAGCGCGGAGTCCGCATTGTCTCCAGAGGTAAGACGCAGCTTTTCGCTCTGAACCCGCGAAGCGGCGGCCTGGTCACCGCGGGGAGGATTGACCGGGAGGAGCTCTGCGCCCAGAACGCGCGGTGTCTGGTGGATTTTAACATCCTGATGGAAGACAAAATGAATCTTTACCCTGTTGAAGTGGAAATAATAGATGTTAATGATAATGCTCCTAGATTCTTGTCAGAAGAAATGAATGTGAAAATAATGGAGAATACAGCTTCTGGAGTGCGCTTTCCATTAATTGAGGCTACAGATCCTGATGTGGGCACGAACTCCCTCCAGAGTTACCAGCTCAGCCCCAATCATCACTTCTCCTTGGTTGTGCAAACTGGAGAAGATGGAACTAAGTACCCAGAACTGGTGCTGGAGCAGCTGCTGGATCGGGAGGACAAAGCGGTTCACCATCTTCTCCTCACGGCCTCTGATGGAGGAGACCCGCTCAGATCCGGCACCGCGCTCATCCACGTGACAGTGGTGGACGTAAATGATCATGCCCCAGTCTTCTCTTTGCCCCAGTACCGAGTGACGGTCCCTGAAAACGTCCCAGTGGGCACAACTTTGCTCACGGTAAATGCAATAGATCTGGATGACGGAATCAATGGGGAAGTAACATATTCTTTTTGGAAAATAACTAAAAAAATTCTTCAAATATTCCAACTGAACGCCCTTACAGGTGAATTATCGACTTTACAAGGCCTAGATTATGAGGAATCTGGCATTTATGAAATGGAAGTCCAGGCTCAGGATGGCGCTGGAAGTCTGACAAGAACAAAAGTACTGATCACAGTTTTCGATGTGAATGACAACGCTCCAGAAGTGACTGTAACGTCTGCGAGCAGTTCAGTCCCTGAGGATGCGCCTCCTGGGACGGTGGTTGCTCTTTTCTACCTACAAGACCGAGATTCCGGGAAGAATGGCGAGGTGACCTGCACCATTCAAGAAAATCTGCCTTTTCAATTAGAAAGATCAATAGACAATTATTACAGATTGGTGACATCGAGGAACTTGGACCGGGAAAGGCTTTCTATCTATAACATCACAGTGAAAGCCGTTGATGGCGGGACTCCTCCCCTGTCCACGGAAACTCACATCGCTCTACACGTGGTCGACACCAACGACAACCCTCCTGCCTTCTCCCACGCGTCCTACTCGGTCTTCGTCCCCGAGAACAACCCCAGAGGAGCCTCCATCTACTCGGTGACCGCCCATGACCCCGACAGCAACGAGAACGCCCAGGTTATTTACTCCTTGGTGGAAGATACCCTCCAGGGGGCGCCCGTCTCCTCCTACGTCTCCATCAACTCCGACACCGGCGTCCTTTACGCGCTGCAATCCTTTGACTACGAGCAGTTTCAAAACCTCCAACTTACGGTGACTGCGCGCGATAGCGGTGACCCACCGCTCAGCAGCGACGTGTCGCTGAACTTGTTTATACTGGATAAAAACGACAATGCGCCGGAGATCCTGTACCCCACCTTCCCCACTGATGGCTCCACCGGCATGGACCTGGCGCCTCGCTCCGCAGAGCCCGGCTACCTGGTGACCAAGGTGGTGGCGGTGGACAGAGACTCGGGTCAGAACGCCTGGCTGTCCTACCGCCTGCTCAAAGCCAGCGAACCAGGGCTGTTCGCGATGGGGGTGCATACGGGCGAGGTGCGCACTGCTCGGGCCCTGCAGGACAGAGACGCGCTCAAGCACAGTCTGGTAGTGGCTGTCCAGGACCACGGCCAGCCCCCTCTCTCGGCCACTGTCACGCTCACCGTGGCCGTGGCCGACAGCATCCCCGATGTGCTCGCTGACCTGGGCAGCCTGGAGTCTCCCACCAACCAAGACGACGCTGGCCTCACGCTGTACCTGGTGGTGGCCGTGGCTGCTGTCTCCTGTGTATTTCTCGCCTTTGTCATCGTGCTGATGGCGCTCAGGCTGAGGCGCTGGCACACATCGCGCCTGCTCCAGGCGTCAGGGTGTGGATTAGCGGATGTGCCCGCCTCCCACTTTGTGGGCGTGGACGGGGTGCGGGCCTTCCTGCAGACCTATTCCCACGAGGTCTCCCTTACCGCGGACTCGCGCAAGAGCCACCTGATCTTCCCGCAGCCCAACTATGCGGACACGCTCATCAGCCAAGACAGCTGTGAGAAAAGCGAGCCCTTGTTACCACCTATAGATTTCCATGAATGTAAGGATGGCGCTCCTAATTCTCAGGTAAGTTCAGTGTATATTTATATTTCCAAGAGGAGCTTTCTGTTCATACAAATACCTTTACAAATATTTTAAAGATTTTAAAATAATCATCGCCATGTACTTGGTTCCGTGCACCATGAGGTTCTTCAATTTATGAATCTTAAGGAGAGGAAACCACTTATTCTTTCATGGAGCACTGGATTCGAACCTTCAGCTTTTTGGTTTACAGCCCAACACTTTGACCTACTAACCCATTTTAAAGATTATAACCTCCACCACCCCCGCCTTGCCAGTCGAGTCGGTCATAGCTGACCTCCAGTGGGTTTTGTGGGGTTGTAATCGCATGGGAGAAAATTGCCCATCTTGCTCTCATGAAATCAGCTGGTGGATTCACACTTCCAGAAAGGCACACCACGCTGCCAGACTCCCCTATTTTAAAGACTACTGTTGTTTTTGTGTACCATCCAGTAGAAACCAACTGATAGCTGACCCTCGGTGAGTTTTCATAGGCAGTAAATCACGTGAGAGATTGCCCATCCTTCTCCTATGGAGCAGCTGGTGGATTAAAACTGTGTGGGATGCAGTTTCTTACCACTAGGCCACCAGGCGTTTAAAAAAAGTTTTAAATAAGTAAAATAAATTTTCTGGTTTACTTGGTGGTGATACAAGTTGGCATTTGTTTCACGAAAGTCTATGGGAAATTTGTGAATGAGTTGGCTATGGCACTTAGAAATTTCCCAGGTATTTTCTCCTTGGTTTTCTTAATCCATATTACTTCACAGATAGGAATCAGGAGTTGTTGAGTCTTTCCTCACTGTTTGAATCACCAAAAGGAAAGCACACCTCAGTCTTGTTCTCAGGATTCTCTTTAACATTCAAATCAGAAATATTTCTCTGTGTCTTGTTGCTTCTGCTTCCATTTGCCTCACTTTGATGGTTGCTTCCTGATCTATTTAATGCACATCATCTGTTATAGTTGGAATAGTGCGGGAACGGGTTAGATTAACCCCTAAAGAGTGTCCTGTATGTGTCATGTTTCACCAAAAGTCTACATCAATGACGGATATTTCAAAGTCGAATGAAACAATAAAAGTAACAACAACAAAAAAAAACAAAAAAATTTAAAAAAGAAAAAATTAAAAGTAACAAAACATTATGTTGTTGCTGTTGTTGTTAAGTGCCATTGAGTCTTGAACGACTCATGGCAACCCTATGAATGAAAGACCTGAGCACTGTTCATAGGGTTTCTGGAGGCAAGCCATTTTGGAAGTGGATGCCACTTCTGCTTCCAGGCTTGTTTTAATCAGGCAGGGAGCTCCACCAAACTGTCCACCATGGGTAACCATTCTCACATTTGGTACGTGAGTGTCACAGTGTTTAGCATCATAGCAACTATGAGTTACCTTTGTACAGCCATGCACAGACCGGTGCTACACCACTTAGGAGGATGTTTCAAATCAAATGTCAAGTGTTAAAAATGTATATATAAAATAGAAAATTCTGTGTGCTGATAGGAAATTCTGATGCAGAATGTGGGAAGAAGGAAATGGAAATGTTGACACTATGAAACAACCATTTTATGCACTTAGATCCGAGAGCAGCAGGCAATAGGCATTACATCTGCTGAAAAATTCCATTGGAATGAACTACATCCATATCAGTTTGTATGATGTTTCAGTAGATCTCAATACATTAGTTGATTCTCTTCAGGTAGGAGTGAAGGACTAAGTAATTTGATTCATGGAACCTTTAAATGTTACATTCAAATACATGGAAAACAATGTTTTATTTGATACTTTGCATATAAAGAACAGTGCAATGAGTGTGGGAGTATGGTTTGAACATTCATTGACACCTGGATGTTCAATCATTTGTGGAGAAGATGTTACTTGTACATTGTGAGGAAATGTCCTCTGACAGAAATATGGTCACCAGGTAATATTTTTACAAAAAAATAAAAGCAAATAATGAAACCAAAATTTATTAAGTGTTTAAAACTAATTTTAAAAAAGATAAATCACTTTCACAGTCAATACATCTTGCAAATTTACTTTCCATAGACTCATTATCTGCTATTCAAGGTTGTCATGGGATGTAATGTAAGTGTAGGGCCGGGGGGACCTGTGCCCAAGTGTTACAGATCACACAATTAAATGACTTTGTGTTGCATGGATAAGTATCATTCCTTTGTTAACGTTGAAAATCAATATATTGATGTTGTAACCAGGTGAATCATAGGATAGTGGGGTGGTGAAGGACTTGTTTGGTAAGTCCACCTCCGGGCAACCTCTTTCCCGTCACTTTTAATACAGTAAAAGTGATAATTTAAAAGTATTATTACAAAGATATCCTTCTGAATATATCGAAGATAAGTGCAAAACTTTGCCAACATAAAATTCAACATTGCTAGTACTCTTCAGATCTGTTGTTCATAGAGTTGCAGTGAATAGTAGTCAACTCTACGGCACCTAACAACAACACAGTACTCTTTGAATGAAACGGAAGTGAATAAACATGAAGATGTATTTGAAAGTCGAAGAAAAAGGAAAAAGTAAAGATAGATGAAAATTTATTCAGATCTCCATAAATAAAGATATTTAAAAATGACTGAATTCAAGTTGGGGCAAAAATCTGTGCTGAATTTTTCTTTATATACTCATATGTATATACTTACTCTCCCTAAAAAAATCTATGAGAATTTGAATAGAGGCATTTGTAACAGTCTTATTTAAGTGCGAATAAGTATATGGACTATAAACTTTATGTTTTAAGTACACAATCACTGTAGCTGGTTAAGCTGAACTGGCAAAGGCTGCAGTTTTCTAGTGCGGACTCTGGGCGCCGCTGTTGGCCAATATGGAGAGTCTGGCGCCCCAGATCCCGCGCAGCCGCACCAAGATTTTCAGTGTAACCTCCACTGACTCGCTTGCGCTAGAATTTCACCACTTCCTCCGTCTGGAGAAGAATCCCGGACCCCACTACTGGAACTAAAGGCCGATCGCAGGACTTGCAATACAGAACCGATTGTAACGGTGCGTCTCCAGGCTGGTGAGCAAACCTCGGGAAGCCAGAGGGATGGGGAGCGGCGCTGGGGAGCGGGGCTGGGCGGAGAGGCGGCGAGCGCTCTTTCCCTTCCTGCTGTCTTTGTTCAGCCTGGCGCTCTCAGAGCAGATTCGCTACAAGATTCCCGAGGAAATGCCCAAGGGCTCGATGGTGGGGAACCTGGCCAAGGACCTGGGCCTCAGTGTCCAGGAGTTACCGACTCGAAAACTGCGGGTCAGTTCGGAGAAGCCTTTCTTCACTGTGAGCGGGGAGAGTGGGGAGTTACTTGTGAGCAGCAGGCTAGACCGGGAGCAGATCTGTGGGAAGAAGCAGGCTTGTGCTCTGGAATTTGAGGCTGTTGCTGAAAACCCATTGAATTTTTATCATGTGAATGTGGAGATCGAGGATATCAATGACCACACGCCAAAGTTCACGCAAAAGGCCTTTGAACTTCAAGTAAGCGAGTCCACAAAGCCAGGCGCACGGTTTATCTTGGGATCTGCCTATGATGCGGATATTGGTATCAACTCTCTACAGAATTATCAGCTCAGTCCCAATGATCATTTTTCACTTGTAAACAAGGAGAAATTAGATGGAAGTAAGTACCCTGAACTGGTACTGAAGACTCTTTTGGATCGAGAAGAGCAGAAGGCCTACCACCTGACCTTAACTGCAGTGGATGGCGGGGACCCGCCGCTGAGCAGCACCGCGCAGATCCAGGTTCTAGTGACAGACGCCAATGATAACGCACCAGTGTTCAGCCAAGACGTATATAGGGTGGGCCTGCGGGAGAGCGTGTCCCCGGGGACGAGTGTCCTCCAGGTGTTCGCCACTGACCAGGATGAAGGTGTCAATGCAGAGGTCACTTTCTCATTCAGTGAAGCGGACCAGATTACTCAGTTTTCTGTGGATTCAAGCACTGGCATAATTACTACTCTAAATATGTTAGATTTTGAAGAAGTCAAAGAATACTCCATGATTTTGGAAGCAAGGGATGGTGGCGGGATGATTGCACAATGTACGGTAGAGATAGAAGTCCTAGATGACAACGACAATGTCCCAGAAGTGATATTCCAGACTCTACCTGACTTAATTATGGAGGACACCGAGCGAGGAACGTACATTGCTTTGCTCAAAGTTCGTGACAAGGACTCTGGAGAAAATGGAGAAGTTACTTGTAAATTAGAAGGTGATAGTCCATTTAAAATACTCACTTCTTCAAGAAACACGTACAAATTAGTGACAGATGGGGTTTTAGATCGAGAGCGCACTGCTGAGTACAATGTCACCATCACAGTCACCGACAAGGGCAAGCCACCACTCTCCTCCAGCATAAAAGTCATCTTGCACATCGGGGATGTCAATGACAACTCTCCAGTGTTCCATCAAGCCTCTTATGCTGTCCACGTGGCTGAGAACAACCCTCCTGGGGCCTCTATCGGTCAAGTCAGCGCCTCTGATCCGGATCTGGGCCCCAATGGCCAGATCTCTTACTCCATCGTGGCCAGCGACCTGGAGCCTCACGCGCTGTCCTCCTACGTGTCCGTGAGCGCGCACAGCGGGGTGGTGTTCGCGCAGCGCGCCTTTGACCACGAGCAGCTGCGAGCCTTCCAGCTGACGCTGCAGGCGCGTGACCAGGGCTCGCCCTCGCTCAGCGCCAACGTGAGCCTGCGCGTGCTGGTGGGAGACCGCAATGACAATGCGCCCAGGGTGCTGTACCCGGTGCTGGGACCCGATAGCTCAGCGCTCTTTGACACGGTGCCACGCGCCGCGCAGCCGGGCTACCTGGTCACCAAGGTGGTGGCGGTGGATGCGGACTCTGGGCACAACGCCTGGCTTTCCTACCACGTGCTGCAGGCCAGCGAGCCCGGGCTCTTCAACGTGGGGCTGCGCACGGGCGAGGTGCGCACAGCTCGCGTCTTGGGTGACAGAGACCCTGCCCGTCATCGTTTGCTGGTCACTGTGCGTGATGGAGGTCAGCCGCCTCTCTCTGCCACAGCCACGCTGCTCCTGGTCTTTGCAGACAGCCTGCAGGAGGCGCTGCCGGACCTCAGTGAACGCCCAGTGTCCTCAGATCCGCAGGCGGAGCTCCAGTTCTATCTGGTCTTGGCTTTGGCCTTGATCTCTGTGCTCTTCCTCCTCGCCGTTATTCTGGCGATTGCTCTGCGCCTGAGACGTTCCTCTAGTTCTTCAGCCTGGGGCTGCTTTCAGCCAAGTCTTTGTTCCAAGACTGGACCTGGAGTTCTCCCCAACTACAACGAAGGAACTTTACCCTATTCCTACAATCTGTGTGTTGCACAGATGGGGAAAACAGAATTTAATTTCCTTAAATGTAGTGAGCAGCTGGATTCAAGACAAGACATACTCTGTGGCGATTCATCTGGAGCTCTATTTCCCTTGTTCAATCCCGATGAATCGACTTCCCATACGGTGAGTTTCCTTAAAACGTAACCAATGTTTCATTGTTCGTGGTCACACCAAAATCTGCCATTTACGAAATAGTATGTTAAGAACTTAAAGGAAAAAAAAAGTTACAGCCAGCCATTCCAAGGAGAGTATGAAGCAGGAACAATTATGCAACTTAGAGGAAAGGGATTTCCCCCTAAATTCTTTTTCCCTTCGCTTAAAAAAAAATTATTATTATTATTTGTGTGTACCGTGAAATCATATCTGACTAGTACAGGAGGAGTTTGCCCCTCCTTCTCCAGCAGAGCATCTGGTGGATTCGAACCGCGTACCTCTGGAATTGCAGTGCAGCTTCTTGCCACTAAGCCACCAGAGCTCCCTCAATTCTTTCCTTCGCTTAATAAATAGTGAATACTTTTTCGTTCTTGGACATACCATAGGTATATATAGTAGACATTCGTTACTACTTAAAATTACGTATCTTTTTTCAGTGATTTTACTGTCCTGGATCTACACTATCCTAATGTTTTATTTCTTGTATTATATTTTCTTATTTTTGTTATTGTTTCAAAAACACCTTAAATAAGCTATTTTACACTGCAATTTTGTGTTCATGGAACCTTGATATCAGTGCAGTTTGCTTTAGTTGTGTAAATGTGCGGTCATTTTACTTAGTAGGTCTGTTATGCTCACTGAAAGACCAAAAATATATTATATTTTCTTGCAACACTGATTTGCTCAAGGCTAATCTCTTGCTTGGTAAACTGGCTTCTCTATCAAAGAAAATACTTTCGCTTCTGTTGCTCTCCCGAATTGTTAAACAATCTTATTGGCACCCCTAAAGATGTGACTAGAGGTCTTCTAATCATTCTACTATTTCCAAGAGGTAAATAGAATATGAAATTCTTCAAAAATTTAGCACACCTGCCATTTTCATGCATATACAAAAGAACAGTAGATTGTGTCAACTTTCTGGTAGATTTTGCATAAGAACCACTCCAGTGAGGAGTTTCTTTTCAAGTTGAAGAAGGAAAGGCCTTTTGTAAGGTCACTTATTGGTTTATTAATTAATGATAATTATGCCATTTTAAATTGTTTTGCTGGCAATTTGAAACAAAAATATATAGCTTTAAGCAAGTTGAGAATATTTGTCTCTCTTAAGGATTAAATTAAGGCTGCTTAAAATTTAATCACCATCAGTATAAGAACTGTATTTATTTGCTCCTTTCGTGTATTTATATACTTGACTATAAAATACAAAAAATTTAAACAAAACATCCAAACAATATAGTCTCCAGTGACACAAACATTACAAAAATTTTTACTCTGTTAGAAATTTACAATACTAATTTGAAAATATCAATTATAGAGTAATGAAAACAGCATTTTTTTATTGGAAAGCAAGCATTCCCCACAAAACTTACTGTAATAATTAATGAAGACAATCTCTTTTTTT